ATGAGATATTCGAGTTTTTTCTGCGGATTAAGTCTTAAGCTTCAAAGCGTTTCTTTCTTTCTTTCTTTCTTTCTTTCTTTCTTTCTTTCTTTCTTTCTTTCAAAGCGTTTCTTTCTTTCCTTCCTTCCTTCCTTCCTTCCTTCTTTCTTTCTTTTAAAGCGTTTCTTTCTTTCAAAGCGTTTCTTTTATTCATTCTTTCTTTTTTTCAATGAATTTCTTGCATTCAAAGAGTTTCTTTCTTTCGTTCTTTTTTTTCATTCAAACCGTTTTTTTCTTTCTATGCGTTTCTTTCTTTCTTTCAATGAATTTCTTTCATTCAAAGCGTTTCTTTCTTTTTTCTTTCAAAACGTTTCTTTCTTTTTTCTTTCTTTCAAAGCGTTTCTTTCTTTCTTTCTTTCATTCAAAGCGTTTCTTTCTTTCATTCAAAGCGTTTCTTTCTTTCTTTCTTTCATTCAAAACGTTTCTTTCTTTTTTCTTTCTTTCAAAGCGTTTCTTTCTTTTTTCTTTCTTTCAAAGCGTTTCTTTCTTTCTTTCTTTCTTTCATTCAAAGCGTTTCTTTCTTTCTTTCTTTCATTCAAAGCGTTTCTTTCTTTCTATGCGTTTCTTTCTTTCAAGGCGTTTCTTTTATTCATTCATTCTTTCTTTCTTTCAATGATTTTCTTTCATTCAAACCGTTTCTTTCTTCTTTTTCTTTTCTTTCTTTCTTTCTTTCTTTCTTTCAACGAATTTCTTTCATTTAAAGCGTTTCTTTCTTTCTTTTTTTCTTTCTTTCTCTCTATCTTTCTTTCTTCTTAAGGGATTCGTCGCTTTTCTGTTGTTGTAAGGGGTCACACTTGTGAAATAAAAAGCTTTGATTGTCGGGAATTAGTAGAATTGAAATTGAATGCGGATGAATGAAAAGTTTAACGACTTTTAGTTTTAAATGTTTCGTTACAGCTTTAATAAAATTCATTGCAGACGTGAACAAATCTTCCACGAGCTAAGTCACTGGGGTATGGTGTCGCTGTTATGGACCAATTCCCGGCAAAGTATGAATATTCATTATTTTTTTAAAAGTTTTTAGAGATATCACGTATGATACGTTCTTCCTTTCCTTGTAACCTAGTCACTTAGTGATTAATGACATTGAGAATTGACTTCTTTGTACTTGATTTCCGTCAGCCACAATTGTTTCAAGAAAACAAAATAATTGAAGAGTGAGTTGCGAGATCTGAATTTTAATTTGAAGCACTTTAAAATAAACTTATAGCCAAAAAGATAAATGTATTCCATGAAAATCAATTCTAATGGCAGCAAAATAAGAGGATTTAACTTTAGTAACTGTACGATTTATAAACTTAGGTATTCAGAAAAAAATGAAAGACATATTTTTGTGTTATGATTAACAAAAGAAATTATAGCTGATAATAATAATAATAATGTTATGTTACATGTCCTCTCTGAATTCTAGTGGTCTGTCGGCAATTCCTCGATAGAGATCTCAACGCAGCCTCAACCGCCTGAATCAACGACAGACAGGTCTCTTTAATTTCGCTTTATTAAAAAAGGCATTATTTCTCGGTGGAAGGGAGATTCAAACCAACTCTCCACTCTTCAACTCATTTCAGAACAAAGTTCCGAGCAATATGGTGGGGTCTGGAATTACAATTATGGTTTTATTTTTATCTTTTTTTTTTGTTGTTTAACCTACGCATTCTGTGACAATAATACAACACAAAGTAAAACAAAAAAAGTAATTGAAAAACTGTCAATGAGGCAAATGCGTGTACGGACGTATATATATATATATATATATATATATATATATATATATATATATATATATAGAAAAAGTTTCAAATTGAAAATTATAATGTTTTATTTTATTCTACAACTTATGTCCTAATAGTGGATATATTGGTGAGTCTGGAAACAATTTTAGATTTCGTTTTAATAACCATAAAAAAAAAAAAAAAACAATACTTTCATAAAATAAAACATTATAATTTTCAATTTGAAACTTTTTCTATATATACATATTAAGAAAGTATACGTGGCTTCTCATTATGTATATATATATATATATATATATATATATATATATATATATGCGTGTGTCATCCTAGATAATTAGCAATGTTTTCAATTGAGTTCTACCTTTAAGCAATCCAAAATCTATTTTAGTCAAAAATAAAGGTCACACTTGCATCGATTTTATGGATTAATCCTAAACATAACATCACCTTACACCAAAAAAAATATCGATTAATCAGAAATTGAGGTCAGTTACTAGACCTCTGCGTAGTTTCCCATGTCATCACAAAGGTGGAAACACGTTTGATGTGAATCCGTTTGGCGCCAACTAACATGCTTCATCGAACTGAATAATAAATGCTACCTTGTCATAAGCAGTTTAACCATTGTTTACACTGATCACTAGATGCCAGAGCACAATTGATATACATCTGGTCATTTCCATGACGTCCATTTAGGGTGCTGCCGCCTACTATTACTTTTTTGTACTGTCATCCCATGACATTTGTCACGTCAGTGTATTTCAACATATGTCACATTAAATGTTTGTTTATCTACAAAGCTAGTAGTAAACTAACAATTCCCCTAATGCGATATTTCTAGATTAAACACGTGGATTTTCTATTACGTCACCAGAAGGGTTCACTACATAGACGTGGATGAATTGCGTATATTTATGTACTGAACTCTTTTGGTGACGTAAAAAACGTTATACACACATATTTGAATACACATTGTGTTTTATATGAGTGAATTATTATTATCATTATTATTATTGAATGAGAGAGTTGCATCACAACAAAGTTACTTTGAGGGACAAATATAGGAAGTCCAATGTAGCCAGTCTGACAAGTATATACTGGGAACATGCGTCACAGACAATTGTGACAAATAAAAGACACATGGTGAAAAGTTTTGATAAAAGTAGTGCATAGATTTACAAGTGGGGTCCAGTTAGATCTACTAATCGGTCGGGTAATCCTGTCTGTTCAGAGGGTCTCCGATTGTGGGTGTTTCCAAGAAGCTAGATCTCAGTCCAAAATCCTCTTGGCTGCCTCATCCAAAAACCTACCCCACATCCCCCAAAAAACAACAACAACAACAAAAACAACAAAAAAAAAAAACCCCAAAACAAACAAACCTCTCGACATCTGGCAAACATGGATAAATGTGCTCGAAATAAGACTTCGTGTCAAAAGGAGGGTTTTTCCCACAACACCGCTTTTTCTTTTTTTTAACTACCTTCATTCTTCGGCAATGTTTATTGTTGTTATGAGACCTTACCCATGATAACATAATGGACTATTCCATACGTAATACATACTGCGCCTCAAGAGGAAGCAGGGAGTTCAGAGTTCAGTCTGAAGTCTGGAGTGAGGTCCGTCAGGAGTCTGTCAGTCAGTCAGAGCGAGCGAGTCAGTCAGTCGAGTCAGAGGCAGACCGAAACAGAGTCGTGTTCAGACAATTACTACTAAACCTGATTGTTCGTACTAACACTTTCTACCTCTCTGTATATATTCCTGTTTGTAATATATCTGTGTTATTCCATATCCGTGTTCGAGTTCTTCTTTATTGGTTCTACCTTGGACTATCACCGTGGTACAAGGAACCGGACCATAACAATCGTTTTAAAAAGCAATAATTAGAATTGTAATAAAATCTAAACACAAGACGAAAGTGAACTTATACATTTTTGTTCGTGAGAATTTAAACCAAAAGTATTTAACACTATTTATTTATTTGCTATGGAAATAGCGATGAAGTAGTGAAACGTTTCGTCAATGGGAAATGGGTTGTAGTGTGGAAAATAATTAATCACACACACGACGGCCGCGTAGACACTTTTGAACTCTACCAAGACAGGTAAATGAGAACTGTGCAGCACCAACTCAGATATGACACCCATAATCTTTTTTTTGATCTGATTTAGCTCTTGTAAAGATAGCGTATAGCAGAGAGAGTCAGATACTTATTGGAACGGTACAATGAATCAACGATTTTTTCCCAGCATCTTTAGCAATAGATCGGATATATGTGTTCCACTTGAGATTTGGGGTGAGTTTGAATCCCAATAAACGTTCAATACATGTAGCCTCATTGAGAGAACACCCATCCATCATGATAGGGAAAAGTTCAGGGTGTGTTCGGTGGTAGTGGAACGTTGCTAGTTTGGTTTCGGTCATATTGTCAGTCCTCCCGCTAGTCAGTCACCAGGATTAGGTCAAAGGAGAGATCAGCTGATAGGTTTTTGTCATCCAGCTTTTTGGAGGTGCACTTTTGTATCATCTGCATAGATAGTCACTAAAGGTCGGTATATGTTCTTAGGTAGATCATTAATATAGATCAGAAATAGGGTCCGACTGGGGAGAGAACCCCGAGGAACGCCAGCATTTATCTCATGGGCTTCTTGAATTAGTTATTATTATTATTATTATTGATAAGGAATTTGGAGTTGGCGATCCGTGTCAAATTCCTTGCTTTGATTTTTGCGTTCACTTTCGCCCACATGATCTGCTTTCGCAATAATGGATTAAATAGTAAGGTAGATTGGTCTCTCTAGCCTTGACTGGCAAGCAATGTAAGAGAATGCAAAAGCTGAATTTCAAAGCATAGATAAGGAGACGGAGAACCACGCCAATGTCCTTTCCCAAGAAGACATGAGAATTCGTAGAGTATAAAGAAAAGGAAATTGTGGAGAGTCATGGTCGCTTACGTTTTAGCATTAAAAATTATCATTATTATTGGATTATTGGATAAACTACTTTTGCATGAAATGAAATCACGGACTTTTTTCTGTATAGCGCGCGCACATGCACACACACACACACACATATATATATATATACACTCTCACATGCATGCGTATATACACACACACACACACACATACACACACAATTACGCATACATCTCAGTTGCTCCTCTTGCCCTTAATATGACTTGTGAGTATTGATTTCTTTAGATCCTCTTTTCAGATTATGTGAGGCTTACTGTTATCTCACGATGAAATACTGGTCCTCGTACGATTACTGAAGTTAAGCAACACCGAGTCCGGTCAGTACCTAGATGGGTGACCACTTGAGAATACCAGGTGCTGTAAGTTTGGATGTGTGGGTGGCGTAATAGATAATGGCTCGGAATTAGACGTTGGAGTGCCGAGTTCCAATTCCAGTAAAGTTCGTTATATTCTCTTATGCCCAAATGCTCTTGGATATGAACACACCTCTTCTCCCCCGCCAAGCTATGAGTTAATTAGTGGGACTTGTATCAGTAAATTATTATTATCGCCAAAAGAATTCTTACGATCTAAAAATATTTTCCGGCTTTAAACAACCTGCAAAAAGTTGATAAGCTGTAAAAACAAATAAATAAAATCAATCCTCATTGCTCTTTCAACCATTTCTTCTTCTTTAATAATTTCTAGAAAACATGGTATTTCACCGTATGGAAGCAAGTCCAGTAAACCAATACAATTGACTAGTGTGTTTGATCATCATTCAAAAATGAACTATATGATAATTTATTAATTTCATCGCAAATAAAGCAAAAAGAATAAAGGATTGACTATTGTAAGAAGCAAGAGCGACAACCAAATGTCAGAGGTCAGTCAGTTGTTGCTATGCGTGAAAACGCTTAAGCTATCATGTATCTTTCGATACATGACGAGGCAGTTTTGTTTCCCCGAAGTAGGTCGCCATTTCTTCCTGTGGTAGATCAGTTGCCATCCAAGGCTATAGTCTGTCCTGCTATTTTACCATAAAAGGAAAAAAGAGGATCCGTACCTTTCCCAAGGGTATTACCATGTAATTGAATGTAATGGATTCGACTGGAATTCGAACCCGGCTCTCTGATTCCCTCAGTCTGAGCCGCTATCCATTACTCCACCGTGCCTCCATGCGAGCGGTACGAAGTAGAAATGTGACAATGAAGTATTACAGATATGTAGCTGTCTGGGAAATGTTGTAACAGACGATGGAAAATGTGGCACAGAAATCCGAAGACTCATTAAAATAGCGAAAGATGCTCCACCCCCAACCAAAAGCTAAGCAAAATATTAAGAAACACTAACAGAAACAAAGTAAAAAGTGCTAACTGCAATGTAATATAGATCCTCCTTCAGTGAATGCTAAAAAATTTCCTCGCAAATGACCAGGAAACCAGAGGCAACAGAGAATGCTGAAAATAACATGGGCGGAACATATGAGCAAAGATTAACTTTTAAAGAAAATGGAAGCAAAAAGACAATCATACTTAGAATCAGGAAGAGACACTTCAAATTTCTGAGACGAATAATGAGGAAAGAGATTTTGGGGAATTTGACACTCACAGGACATGCTAAAAGCGAGAGGAGCAGAGTAAAACATCGAGTCACCTACCTACCTACCTACCTACCTACCGAACTTGTGTAAATGGTTGTCAGAACACGGAGTTCAAATTGTTCTTATTCCATATTCTTAGGGGACATTTAATGTAGTCCCTTGGATACAGTAAGTATGTATATCAATTTATGGGCTGTACACGAAATAGTTTGACCGCGTATTGCGAACGGACAAACTAACTCTTCCCAAGAACAGATATCAATTGTGTAAAAGTTGGTGCTTTTCAATAAGTTCGTTGGCAAAATTTCAGAATAAATTAGTTTGTTGAGAAACAGTTGAATAATGAATGTGAATCAAGGGAATTAAGTTTACTCGATTTGAAAATTGGTTTCTATACTTTTCTAATTAGTATTCAGTTCAAGTGTACGGATGTATAAAATGGCAGAGATTCAAACAAGGCTTGGGAGGTTCATTCGTAATAAATTAAGATTTTCTTTAGATGACGGCTCTTTAATCAGGATTAAGATTGATTTGCTGACCATCTGTTGTCAAAAGTATCTATCAGTTTAAGACAGGACGATTGCCATTGGAAGATTGTTACTATTTCGACAAAAAAAAAAAAAAAGAAAAAAAATACTGTTGAATAAATGAAGAAAACGATATACAGCTTATCAACGTATCCCATCCCCATCAAAATACAGAGAAAAGTGATTAAATTGAAAGGTTGCTTCTTAAGTCGGCAAATAGATCCATTTTTCTCATGTTTCATGAAATTGTTGTTAGAAGAGCTTTTATTGCAAGTGCAGCAACGGGGTAACTGGAAAATATAAAGTTTATTCTCAAGTATTCAGTATAAGGAGTAGGGAATACTGTTAAAAGAAGAACCTTCGAAAACGACAATTTTTTCATGAAAATTTCTTTTTTTAACCCACGATTAAAAAGTCCACCTCATGAACTTAACAACACATTTGTAAGTGAATAATGGCTTTTATCCATGATGAATTTTATCAGATCAATTATTAAAAATGTCTTCGAGCGAATGAAGCGTGTAGGTCTTAGCGAGGACAATCCTTCTTCGAATTTTATCAGATCAATTATTAAAAATGGCTTCGAGTGAATGAAACGTGTAGGTATTATCGAGGATAATCCTTCTTCGAATTTTATCAGATCAATTATTAAAAATGTCTTCGGGCGAATGAAAAGTGTAGGTCTTAACGAGGCTAATCCTTCTTCGAATTTTATCAGATCAATTATTAAAAATGTCATCGGGCGAATGAAGCGTGTAGATCTTAACGGGGCTAATCCTTCTTCGAATTTTATCAGATCAATTATTTAAAATGGCTTTGATTGATTGAAACGTTTAGGTATTATCGAGGATAATCCTTTTTCGAATTTTATCAGATCAATATATATTAAGATATGTGCACAAGTGTTTGAAGGGCAGAATCTCGTTCGGGGAGAATGACCAACCCGATCTCATTTATACGGGTTATACGGGCATTTTTTGGCCGAGCCTACGGGCTCGGGAAACCCACGATAAACTCGGTCTTGTGCCACATGCAACCCTCGTGGTGGGGCTAGATACCGAATCAAGCCGAGCTTCTCGACTTGACGGTCGAACTCTCTGCCTCTGAGCAGAAAGGAACCCGGACGAGGCTCCGCCGAAGGGCAGAGTCTCGTTCGGGAGGTTGACCAACCCGATCCCGTTTATACGGGTTATACGGGCATTCTTTGGCCGAGCCTACGGGCTCGGGAAACCCACGTTAAACTTGGCCTTGTGCCACATGCAACCCTCTTGGAGGGTGGCTAGATGCCGAACCGAGTCGAGCCGATAGTAGTTCACTCCAAACCAGACTGACAGTCATATTAACACCTTCCATATCTTGTATTATTAGTTCGTGTAATATACCTTCGTTATTTCTACTCTTGTGTTCGTGTTGTTCTTCCTTGGTCCTAACCTGGACCATAGCATATATCATTGGGAATTTTCTAGAATTACTGTGTATATAAACATCCATACCAGAGAGGACACTCATTGTATGCAAAAATGTAAAATACACGTTTGGAGAAAGCTCCAGCGCCTTACACGTATCTCGCGGGCCGATGGTGATTGACGAAGTCTGGAGTTGAATAAAATATAATATTACGTATGAGAAGTTATGTTTCATTTTATCATATCGATAATATTATGCAGCCAACGTCTGAAAATGTAAGAGATATGAATAAAATTTATGATGCGTTTTAAGTCACTGGAAAAGTTAAGAACTTGAGTGATTTATTTGTTGTTTTTAACGTCTTATCAGCCTTTTGTGGGTTATTTAAAATTAAAAAAATATTTTTAGATTGTAAATTTTTTTTGTGCAGATAAGTCTTACCAATTAACCAAAACCAGGGGGGGGGAGACGAGTTGGTTCATACATTTCGAAAGGCTATTTGCGCGTAAGTGAATATAATGAACTCGATTTGAATTAGAACTTGGCACTTCGAGTTCTCATTCCGAGCCGTTATACATTACACCACCCGCACATCCAAGCTTACGGTAAGCCTGTTTCATGGAACAATTACCAAAAAGAAAAAAAAAAGGTGCTATAGAGGATCAAGTATTACTGAAGTTGAAAAATGACAGGCAACTGTGGAGAGTTATAATCGTCTATATTCTGAAACGGCATAACGATGAGAGCGAGAGAAAGAGTGAGAGATATTACAAGGAATTTGATAATGATGTTGAGACTAAGCATTCATTGTAAGAAAACATAATCTCTAATCATTAGTAAGAGGCACATTACAAGACACAAGCTACGAAATGGAGTTGTCAAAATCAAACAAGCACAGAAACATAACCATCTGGAAAATGTTTTAACACACGATGAAAACTATGACACATAAATCCGAAGGCAGATTGAAATGGCAAAAGAGGCCTTCTAAAAGCTAAGCAAAGAAATAGGAAATTAGAAACAAAGAAAAGTGTGGTGAACCGTTCTGTGGTATTAATCCTCCTATATGGAAGTGAATGCTGGACAATTTCTTCGCAGATGAAAAGAAGACTTGAGGGAACTGAACTGTGGTTCAACAGAAAGATACTGAGTATACTATGAAGAGAATGAACAATGAGGAAATATTAAAAAAAAAAAAAAACTGGGAAGAAAATAAAATATTTTATTTAGAATCGGAAAGAGATAGTTGAAGTTTCTGTGACATGAGGAAAGGGAACTTGTAGAATGTAACACTCACAGGACATATTGAAAATAAGAGGGACAGGTGGAATCAGCGTGTAACCTACGTTAAAGATCTTATGTAAATGGATTGCAGAACCGAGACTGAAAGTGATAGTAAGGGTATACAAATTGCATATAGATACAAAGGATAGGAAGTCGCGGTGAACCGTAACTGCCTTTCTCCTGAAGAGACAGGCGCATAAAATTGTGGATCAAGTGTAACCCATTATGTTTTCCACTGAATTAAACTTCTAACATATCTGAATAATGTTTATTTTCATTAATTGCTATCACAGTTTATTCTAAATTCATTTAACGAAGACTGTTTAACAGAGGCGCCTGCTCGATTTTATCGATAATTCTAAGTGTAAAGGTAGCTTTGGATTTGTAATAACGGACCCAACCTACATGATTGCTTCTAGTAGTTTGATCTCATTAAACAGTTTCAGGCTTCTAGCTATATATTCACTTAGCCATTTATTTGTTTCTCTCTTCTCTTTTCGATTATTCGTTTCATGTCTTTTGCCTGGTCTCTTCCATCCGATCCTATCTCTAAGTACACGAAG